ACATGCCTAGCAGTAGATTTCTCATAGACCTGCTTGGTCAAACTATTCTGTTCTCTGTAGGCTCTTGGCTATCTTTAATTAGATTTTTCCTAGATATTTTATTTTTATGGTCTTATTTATGGTATAATATAAAATTTTATTTGTAACTGCTTCTGACATACAGATAAACATTCGTTTGAATATGAATTTATCTTGGAACCAAATTCCCTCATTATTTTAAATAGCTTACTAATAAAATTTTTGTTGGAAATTTTGCATACACAGTCATATCCACAGAAAATGGTGGTTTTATTCATTAGCAGCCTTTTTATCTCCTTTAGTCCACGGTAGGCCCTCCCTTTAATATTGAATAGAATGGTGAAGTGGATTTCTTTGTGTATTCTCTGTAGAGTAGGACAGCTCTCCATATTTCATAATTAAATAGTAAGCTTTCTGTCTTTTCTGTAGATTCTTTCCATCAGGGGAACTAGGGGTTTTTTTTATTTCTATTTGCTAAGGCATTCTATATTTGAAATGTGTTTAAATTTATAAAATGCTTTCTCTTTACCTATTGAGATAATCATATGATTAGCCTCCTCTTTTTTAGTAAATATGATTTTTTTAAACATTGATTCATGTTTTGATGTTAAACAAACTTATATTCCTGTAAACAATTCAATGTGGTTATGATCATATGTATATGGTGCTAAATTTGATCTGCTTATATTGTGTTTAGGATATATGCTCTGATTGCATCCCACACATTTATCCTTCAGTTCTTATACCATTTCCTCCACCTCCCTCAAATAAGTCAACCCTAAATATGGCAATATGCTCCCCACTTCCTGTGACTCAATTTGCACCTGATGTGACTCCCTGTATTGGGTTTCCAAAGGACTTTTATGACCCACAAGATTAACCCACAGTGCTCTTGCAGAGTAGGGCTTGGGGAAAAGTGTTATCTTTTAAACAGTTCACAGGAATATCCCACAAGTCACTTTCAGGCAAACATGCCATGATGGAATTCCAAAGTAGCTCTGGTGGCAGGAATAGAGGCAGGTGTGGACCAAGAGCAGGGCTTCCTCTCACCTCTGCTGCCTCTGCTGTACATGCTGTTGTCATAAGCAGAGAATGGTATTGAGCCCTTATCGAAGCTAACCACCCCATGTGGAGGCTAGTTTTCTACATCAGACCACTTCCACACTGAAAAGACAACAGCAGTTCTACCTTATTATAATTGCATGTGTGGTACATAGAATTGTCTTCTCTGTCTGCAGTGCTACCCACCAGATTACAGTATATGTCATAGGATAGCATCACTTTGAACCAAGGGATCAACTCTTATGATGAACAAGGTCAACAGTAGGCACAAGAACATGGGATCTACTTATCCTACTATACATCACATGACAGAGAAATTGCAGGCTTGATGAGAAATTAAAATGGTCTCTTAGATGTGCAGCAAAGACACCAACTTAGAGGTGACATACTGCTATATTGTGTTCTGGATGTGGAATGTACCTCAATCCAATGGCCATTATATGGTCTGACATATATGTAGGACCACATATATCCATTAAAAAGTAGAACACATAGGTTCAGAAAATGATGGATGGAAGTTGGAGTGAACCTTCTCAAATTAACTCCCAGTGACACACTTGGGAATCTATGTTTCTTGTCTCATAATGCCTTTAGGCTCTCCTGGGTTGAAGGTCTTACTCCTCTGAAAGACACCTTTTTGTCAGGAGACACAACTATCATCTGACCATTGTGCACTACTAGAGAGCAGTTACTGTTTGGTGAGGGATTGTTATCTTGAAGGTAAGAGAGCAGAAAGAAATACATCTGGAACACAGGATTTCACTGGAGTGACTCGTGGTGGGTTCAGGCTCAATGACATTCATAAGTGAGCAAGGACAGCAACCACAGCATGCCAATCAGTTGTAACTGTGGCGCAGACCTACGTCTTTCAGATGTAGATGTAAGTGCCTTTGAGCAAGAACAGGAGACCCAGTCATGGATCTGAGTCTGTTCATTATTAGCTTGTGACATCGCACAATGAACAGTTTGCGTGTTGTTGTTCTGAAAATTGGAGATAATAATGTGGGAGGTGCTATTGTGATGCTCAGAATGGATAATGCATGTAGTATGCAATGTGTATTTAAATCCTTATATCAGGAATTCTGTACAATAAATCACACGCAATATGGATGAATTATGATATAGAATTTATTAAGAAACATATAGTAAGACTCCTGATTCTACAAAGACAACTCAAAGTGATCATAAAAGAAGAAAGCATGATACAAAAACCATGAGTACACTGAAAAAGAATATATGATTGTGAAGATTATTGATCAATTACAGAAACCTATGAAAAAGTTATGAGAATTTTATTTCCTAAGTTACTTAGAGGAACTAGGTAATCCTACTTCAAAATCAAGGTCAATTCCATATCGAGGATGTATAAAACTGGTACATGACCTACATGCACAGGAGGAAGGTTGAAGTCCTGTGACCTCCATCAAGCTGACTCAAAACTTGTAACCAATCAGATGAGTCACAGAAATTATGGTCCAGCATGCTGGTGTCAGCAAAGTCAAGGAAGACCATTTGTTTCCATAATGGCAAATTAGTTCACAGATGATAGGTGTGCAGATGGTGGTTGTCTGGCAAGGTGATCAGCAGCAGCAGGACTGGCCACAGCTGGATCCGCAGCCATAGCTTATGCACCCAGGCACGCAGCAGCAGGTGGGGCGGTAGCAGGTTCTGCAGACATTCACGGGACAGCAACAAACTTGCTGGCAGCAGGGTGAGCAGCAGCAGGACCCGCCACAGCTGGACCCACAGCAGCTGGGCTGGCAGCAGGGAGTGCTACAGCAGCAAGGCTGGCAGCAGCTGCTCACACAGCAAGGGCGGCAGCAAGGCTGGCAGCAGCAGGACCCACAACAGCTAGACCCACAGCAGGTGGGTCTCCAGCAGGTGGTTCTGCATGTGGTCCTGTAGCAGGTGGGCTGGCAGCAAGAGGAGCAGCTCATTTTGTCAGGTGTGGAGGGTGGGCTTCTGTTCAGAGGTGAGTTTCTCAGATTCTGATGGTGTCTTCTCTTTGGGGGCTTTTATACTCTGGACCCCCAATGTTGGGACCAATAAGCAGGATTTTCCTTGCTGTTGTTTCCTCATTTATAGTCACAAGGAAATTGTAAAGGAAGAAGTTGTTCTCCTTGTGTTTTGAGGGTTCTGTAAATTACCGTTTGATCTTCTCCTTAATTGGGAATATTACTTAAGAATCTTTTCCAGACATGGGACAATCAGGAATCATCCCCAGCACATTTCCTGGTCATGTGACATCATCTGGTCGTGTATTACTTCCTGCTGGTTTGAAGAAGGTCAGGATAGTGGTCTCTTCTCAGTGTTGTTCCTTTGGCCATACAGTATTTAGATTGATGTGCTGTTGTCATAAGCAGAGAATGGTGTTGAGTCTTATCTATAATATCCATCTTGGAAGCAATCACCCACACAGCCAATGTTCTACTTGTACCACTTCCACATTGAAAACACAGCAATTCTTTCTTTCTATGGTTGCGAGTTTGCTGTGTGGAATTGTCTTTGCAGTGCTACCCACGTGCTTACAGTCTATTTTGTAGGATGCTGGATAGCAACACTGTACCACTTCCACATTGAAAACACAGCAATTCTTTCTTTCTATGGTTGCGAGTTTGGTGTGTGGAATTGTCTTTGTCTGCAGTGCTACCCACGCACTTACAGTCTATTGTCGTAGGATGCTGGATAGCAACATTTTGGACCACGGGACCCACTTTATGATGAACAAGGTCAACAATAGGCACATAATCATGGATCTACTTGCCCTACCATACATCACATGACAGAGAAGTTGCTGGACTGATGAAAAATGAGCATGGTGTTTTAGATGTGCAGCAAAGATACCACCATAGAGATGACAACCTGGAGGATTGATATATTGTCTTCTAAATGTGGCATATATTTTGGTCCAATGACCATTATTTGCTTGACATATATGTAGTACTATATATATTCATGAAAATTAGTGTCCATGGTTTTAGAATATGTTATACTTGAAATGTTAAATTCTGTTTCTGACATATACATATACAAATACAATTCATGTTTGGATGTTGATCCTGTAATCAAACTGCATGATTATTTCTAATAGCTCATTGACAGATTTTTTGGACATTTTACATGCACAGTTATATCATCCACACATGATAGGATTGCCCTTCTAAAGCTGAATGGAAAGACACAAACAGGAGCAGAACCAATTTATACAGGCACTTTAAAGAGGAAGAATCATATCAAGACAAGGAGAATATCCACTACCCAGGTTGAGAACATGTACAAATGAATGTGTGTTTCTCAAACGGGCATGTGGCAGTGAACCCTGGAAGTTCAGGGTCTGGAGAGGCACACGGGCAGAGGTGGGCAGAGCACAGCTGCCCCGCACAGGGGAGAGGGACATTGCACCTGAGCCTTCCAGTTCCTGAGGCAAGAGCACGTGTTTGACATGAATGCAGGCAGTGCCACTAAACATTGTGTTCTTCTAAATTATTTCTTCTGATTCTTTGCTCAGAAAATAACCCTCCTGTTATTATTTGACTACCCTAGTAGGCATTTGTACCGAGAAACAACTGGTCAAATACACTATAAAAACTACAGTTACTACATTTATAATTGTGGCTAATCATTGGCATATTAATTTATGAGGATCAATAAAGTTTTTATGCCTCAGGGGTCGGGTAGCAACTCATCCTGGCCCCCTGGTGGTCATTGTGCTCCCACAGAGGGAGCTCTGCTCAGCCACAAGCCAGGCTGATGGCTGCCAGTACAGCGATGGTGGTGGGAGTCTCTCCCGCCTCCTCAGCAGCGCTAAGGATGTCCGACTGCAGCTTGGGCCTGCTCCCTGCTGGCAAGTGGACATCCCCTGAGGGCTCCTGGGCTGTCAGAGAGATGTCTGACTGCCAGGTTAGGCCCAATCCCCCAGGAAGCGGGCCTAAGCCATCAGGTGGTCATCCCCTGAGGGGACCCAGACTTCGAGAAGGCACAGGCTGGGCTGAGAGAGCCCCCCACCCCTGAGTGCACAAATTTTTGTGCACTGGGCCTCTAGTATCCAATATAATGGCATTTGGAGGTGGTATCTATGAGAGGTAATTAGATTTTGCTGAAGATATGAGGGCAAGTCCCCCATGATAGGGTTAGTGCTCTGATAAAAAAGAGACCAGAGTCTTCTCTCTCTCTCTCTGTCTCTCTCTCTCTCTCTCTCTCTCTCTCTTTCTCTCTCTCTCACTTTGTCCCCTGATAGTCCTGCTGCAGCATCGCATTCCCTTCACTCTATCTCTTACATGTGTTTCCCTGCCTCGTGGGATGCACTTCTGATGAAGGACAGCATTTCCCTGTTGAGTGCATGAATTTTATGAAGCTCAGTTTTTCTCAAGGACCATGAAATTGACATTGCCAAATAGATCCTTATTGTGAAGAAATTGTTAAGAGTAGTTTCTCTTAATATTGTAGTTGTTCCTAGATTATGGTTTGATGGAATATAATAAGATCCTGAAATGTATGGACATGTGTTACTATTCTTACTACTTGGCATCTATGCCGATTTTGTAAGATGCTTCTAGTTTCCATTATCCATTTTCTGTAGATTGTACATCTGCTTATCTCTGATTTTATCTTCAACCATAAGTTCTTTATTGTGGAAGTAAGTACAATTGATTTTGGTTATGAGGTTTAAATCATATGGAAAAGTCCTCAGGTTCCTGCTCTGCCACTCACTAGTTTTACTGTTAAGGGAAATATAGTGTATTCTTTATGCCAACTCATGAATTGTTTCTTACCTATACCGTATAATCATCCCTTACAAATATTTTGTTTTATTATCCAGCTACCATCGTACATATTATGACCCTCCATGGATTAATCTGGAAGTGTTACTTCCTGTGTTTTCCTTTCTTTTACTGGGGCAGCCAGTCTGCTGGCAGATACTGTCTTGGAGATACCACCATTCCTATGTTTTCAACAACATGACAAAAACAAATCAATTCATCACCCTTATTTTTAGTAGAGAATAGTAACTTTCCCTTTTCTTTTCCCTTAATAAGCTAAGATTTATTTCTCTCTTGCTTATCTCTTTATTTCTGACTTAGTACAACTGACCTCAATGTTACAAATTATAAACATCCCAAACCAGGAATAATGGTAGGTCTTCTCCCAAACCAGGGAGAAGATCATGGTGTAGCGATGATGTCCATGGCTAATGAACACAAGGATGATAATTTTTAGCACAATTCCATTTTATTCCCAAAAAACCTACAATTATTATAATGTATGGACACGGAATACCTCAAAATGCATTAATTGATAACCTCAATAGCAGAATTTATGCCCAATGGAGTTTTTATGGCAAGAGATCAACTTCTACTTTCAAAGGCAGTGGACAGAGGAAATATTTCCAGTCAAAACAACTCTGAGGAGTATATTGAGCATTATTTATATGTGTATGTATTTTTGGATTAAAAAAGTGGCCCGAGGGAACGATGTTAATTGACTATTTGCCAGTGGTGAAAGCCTTGACTGACTGCTCACAGTCCTGGAAAAAGCAGGTTGGACTATAGGCATTTGGAGAAGAATCATGTAGAGGGAGATGGTCTGTGGACAGAAAGTGTTTCCACATTCTGTCCCACCTCAATGCCCAACCCCCCCAGAGAGTATCCACCATTTAGGAGACACTGAACAACTATGAGTTTGATACAACTCAGCCTGTGTCTTTTCTCAGGTGCACCAACACTTGCACAGGGAACATGAGCAAAGTAGCCCTGGAGGAAGGGACAGAGGCTTTGTGTGAACCAAGAGCAAGAACTTCCTCTCCCCACAGCTCCTCTGCTCTATGTGCTGTTATCATAAGCAGAAAATGGTGTTGAATCCTTATCTATAATATCCATCTTGAAAAGTAATCACCCACACAGCCAATGTTCTACTTGTACCACTTCCACATTGAAAACACAGCGATTTTTCCTGTCTATTGTTGTGAGTTTGGTGTGTGGAATTGTCTTCTTTGTCTGCAGTGCTACCCACGAGCTTATAGCCTATTGTGGTAGGATGCTGGATAGCAACATTTTGGGACCAAGGGACCCACTTTATGATGAACAAGGTCAACAATAGGCATATAATCATGGATCTACTTGTCCTATGGATCTACTTGCCCTACCATACATCGCATGACAGAGAAGTTGCTGGACTGATAAAAAATGAGCATGGTGTTTTAGATGTGCAGCAAAGATGCCACCATAAAGATGACAACCTGGGGGATTGATATATTGTCTTCTAAATGAGGCATATATTTTGGTCCAATGACCATTATTTGCTTGACATATATGTAGTACTATATGTATTCATGAAAGTTAGTATCCATGGATTTAGAAATAATGGGTGAAAATAAAGGTGAACCTCTCATGTGAATCCCCTGTAACATGCTTGGGAATTGGGGCTTCCTATCCCATCATGCCTCTAGTTTCTTCTGGATTGGTAGTTTTACTCCTAAGAAAGCACTTTTTGTCAAGTAATATCATGTAATTTTGTAACTATCATCTGGTGAGCTTGGAATTTTCCTATGAGTAGAGTAGCAAGCAGAGAAAGCAGTTACTATTTCATGAGTGATAATTACCATGAACATGTAGAGAGCAGGGAGAAGTACATCCGTAATGTGGGAATTTACTGGGGTGTTCATGGTGTATGCAAGCTCATTGACAACCTTATCTGAGCAATGGCAACACCACAGCTTGCGAATGGTTCAGTAACCAGAGGCTCAGACCTCTACATCTTTGACATGTAAATGTCAGTGTCTTGATCAGGAACAGAAGACCCAGTCCTGGATCTGAGTCTGGTCATTATTATTAGCTTGTGACATTATGCAATGAATTTGTTTTTCTTAAATTGTAGATGATAATTGTGGGAGCTATTGTGCTCAGAATGAATGATGCATATAGTATGCAATATGTATTTA